ACTGTTGGGAACGGTGCTAGAAAACTGGATAGGTTTGAGGGAGCAGTTTGAAAAGTTTGTGGATTGAAAGGATAGCTTTTGAATTCAAGCCTCACAGTAAGGAACTGGGCATTTATAATTTATGCAAGTGGAGGCAGTGAGTGACCTGATCAGAATCTAGAGCTGCTATGAGACATGTTTCTGATGGCAGTGTGTCTAATTGAGCACATGCAGATACTGTAAGAAGCTCTGCTGGCTAAAAGTAGATCAAGTTCAGCTAAGTGAGTCTTGGAAAAATCATCACATCAAGATTTTTTTTTTCTCCTCACCACCACTTCTCCACCTTGTTCTGTCCTCTCCCCGCACTGTGTGTGGCCTTTCAACTTTAGAAGGCACTGGAGAAATGGGGACACAGAGCAAACAAAGGACATCTCTCTGTGTGTGCCTGCTCTATGTAGCAGGCTTGTTTTGCTCAGTGGGCAAAAAAAGCAAGTGAAGAGTTGACCAAATCTCACCAGAGCCGATTCAAAATCTTCAGCTGAAGTTGTTGGTTTGTCAGTGCTGGTGATGCGAAGGGTGGATTTTATTTGGGGGCAGTATTTTGACCAGCTTCTTCTATAAGTGTGTCTTGGTGTCTTGTCTTTTTCTTCCCTTTTTTTTCCCTCTTTTTCTTTTTTAAATGAAAAAGTTATCTTTGGGAGACAGATGATTGAATTGAGGGCTGTAACGGTAAATTAAAAAATCGTTAAGGTAGGAGCCTGCAAGGGCAGGCAGTGCTTCCTTATCAGACCCTCCTTGTTGCCCCAGTTCCTGGCTGTGTATAATGGGTACCGGTGCACAGCTCCTGTGAATATTTATCACTTCCCTTTCTAATCTCTATATGCCTTTGACCACCACAACATCCTCTGGAAATTAATTCCTCATTTTAATTACATAACACATTTTTCATTGTTGCTGGTTTTTTCTCTACTTTTTTAGGATACTACTTACAGCTCTAAGCCTGGTACTGACAAAAAATAAACAAGTAATCATTCAGTTTTGCCTCTTTCTACCTCATCTTGCTAATTTCAAAACTTCAGTGTGTCCTCTCTCCATTCTCTCTCTCTCTCTTGCTTTCTCTTCATATGGGAAACAGCTTCCTGCATCTGATAAGATTTGTTTCTAGTCTTGTAACATGTAGAGAAACTCCTAACAAATGCTAGGCAAGCATATTACTCGCTTCTAGGTTGAGTGTGTGCAGTGCGGGAGAAATGAGAGCAGGAGACACCCTGTTGGTGTTCCCAATGGATGGGGGGAAGGCTCCAGTATTGATTCATGGGTTAGTGGATGTCATGGAGCTCCCCTGCGGCAGCTCAGCCTGGAAGTGTGGCACCGCAGGAGGCCAAATGTTGCTGGCTTGTGCTGTGGGTTTCTTTTGAAGAGGCAGCTGTGTGCACCTGCTCAGGGCAGGGGGAGCTCTGTGAGAGATGGATTAATAGGCAGGGAATTGACCAGCATTGCCAGAAGAGGTTTGATTGTAACTTGTCTTTGTAAATTCCCACAAAGCTGCCTGCAGCACATCCAACCGATGTGTCTACGTGCATCAAAATCAATCACTGGTGTGGAAGCTGGCGGTCCTAACTATTTCACATGTTGTATTTGCAGCAGTAGACCCTGGTCCTGCAATCCTGGAACAGAATGCCTTCTGCTCTGCAGGGGGAGGATTCTGGAACAGAGAATGCAATTTCCTCTCCATTGGTGTGTTTATAAATCAGAAAACAAAAGTTCCCTGGGGAGGACATTGCTGAAATAAACAGCATCAGCCCATCAGCGAGCAGCCTCTACGTGTGCAGGCCTGGCTTCACTTGGAGAAACCGAGAAGCCTGCAGTGCCTGGGTGTCTGGTCTCTGTAATCAGCTCCTTTCTTCCTTACTGTCTGCAGGAAGATCCGCAAGCTGCTTTCCTCCTCCGAAGCCAAGCGAGCCGCCCGACGCCCTTACAAGCCCATTATCCTCCGGCCCATCCAGGCAGTGCAGCTGCGCCAGCCCATGAACGACGAGCCCATCATCATCGAGGATTAACGCAGCAGCCCCGCGGATGATGGTCGAGCTGCCTGAAAGAATCTCTCCTCCAATCTATACTTGAGTTTCTATGGCTACAGCATGGAACTAACTGTTGAAGAGAGGGAACTTTTGAGGAACTGTTTTGCATCTTTTAAACCCTTAAAAGGAACTCAGCCCTGCTCTGAGCCTCTGACCACAGACTGCTCTCTCTCTCTCGCGTGCTCTCTCCTTCTCTCTCCTTTTTTTTTTTCATTCATTTTGTTTGGTTTTTGTTGCTTTTTTTTTTTTTAAAATTTTTGGTAGCCTCTTTTCCCCTTTGCTTCTACCCCTTTTGTAGACAGGGGGAGGGAAAGTAAGTTTAACTTATTAAGAGAATGTGGACTAGTACTTTTTAGCTTTGTTTCCTCTTCTGATGTACGAAGAGCTAGAACCCTTCATTTTGTGAGCTCTCGTTGCAAAGCTGTTTTTATGAGGCTGTTGTTGTAAGGTTTTTCTTTTCCTTTTTCTTTTTTAATTTTGTGGACGGTGCCATTTTTTATTTCATTTATGTTATTTCTTTTGTAGATACATTTCCAACCTTTTAACTGATATTTGGAAATAGGAGCTGAAAGCCAGCCACAGGTTCAGCCAGTTTTCTTTGGTCCTGTCCCTTATGTTTTTTGGATCATTTTGCACGGCTAGTTGTGCTCATGCATGAGACAGGAACAACTCAGGCTGAGAAAGGAGTGAGCTAAGAACTGAAGAACTTTGCAGAACATTACACTAAAGTTGTATGCAGTGGAGGCCAGGCCACCAGAATTAGTTGTCCTTACTCTAGTTGATCCCTGGGAGATCTGGCCCATGGCATTTTTCCCAGTAACCAGCAGTCTGCATGCTGCCTTCTCTCTGACATCTGGAATCCTACGTGCTGTTACACCACCACGACCCAGCAGTAGGACCAGCAGTCCAGCAAGTGTAATGAATTGCTTTGCTCTGGCTCCAAGAGTCAAGTACACCAATGCCCAGGGACATTTTGCTTAGAACTCTGAACCTGTTTGTGCATCAGTGTTTTTGGACACATCTCTCCCAGGATGAGACCTGGTTTCTCTTTAATTGCGTTACTGTATGTTTCCCATTTTGAAGGGAATTTAAATTGCAACTGGGTTTTCATTTGAACACGTTGTGTCTGAACTTAAGTGTTTTTTTCCCCCCTTGACATTTCTTGTGTTTGAGGTTTCTTGCATCTCTTGAACTTCTTATGTATTTGCAAGTCTGTATAATTTCTTTTTCATATGTCTTCTCATTGCAGTGCATTTGCTGAATGCCCTGCTCTGTTTTGAAAGGATGTAAACTATCATTTGCAACTTGTGCTGATCTGTACATGTACCTGCCTCAAGCAGACACAGCATGTAATAACCCCCAAGTCATTCCATATGTGTCAGCGGTGAGATGAGCCAAAGTTGTATTTGGGTTATCACAGTCCAGCCGTGATTCTGTGCAGCTCTGCTAACCCGCCAGGTTAGGCAGAAAGGAATCCCCACAAAATGAAAACAATTCAGTTAACTTTACTTAATAAACCTGGAAAGTGAGCTTTTGTGAAACATCTGCTTTTTGTCTCTTCTGAAAGACCTGCCAAGACCCTCGCTCAGGGTGCCATCTGGCTGGCACACACGCCCCTGCCCTCCCTCCTTCCCATCCCAGGGCCGCATCCTGCTCTCAAGTGTTTGCATAACTGTGGTGTGTCCCTGTGCTGCCAGTGCCCTTGTGTTGTACAGAGTCACTCATAGTTTGATTCCCTTCATGTGCAATTTAAACATCTCTGACACTTCAGCCTGTGATTCCCTCCCTCCTCCTCCTCAACGTGGCAGCAGATTCAGCGCCCAAGCTCTGAATGAGCCTTTTGTCTGCGGCGGCTCCTGCGTCCTGCTGATCCGTGGCATGATGCTGGCATGTGGCAGAGTGAGATCCCTGGGGGTTACAACTGAACTCACTGACATTTAAGTGCTTCATTTCCACATCCACTCCTTACTGGGATAAGCAAGGCGGGCTCAACATTTGGTATCATTTGCTGCCTGGGGGTGGTAAGATTTACTCTGTGAGGAGTTATGCAACTTAGCAAATGTTCTAATGTATCCTGCACTGCTGGTCACGTTTTCCTATCCATAACTTAAAAGCAGGAGGGGACAGCCATTCCTGAGGGATGTGCTACAGGGGAAAAGCACTAAGCTTACTGGGTAGAAAGCCTCCAGAATGCTTGCAAGGGTGCAGGGCTGTGCCAAAGGCCTTTGGCAGTTCTACTTTTTTCCATCGATCTGTAGCATTAACCTGCGTACAGAAGAAACAGACTGCAGGAAGGGTCTTGACACTTTCCCTCTGTGAGAGAAAGGTCTCACAGGGATATCTTCCTGTTGCAAAATGAGATCTGTGTCCGAATTGGCTTCAGCCCCTCTGCAGTGGGATCCAGAGCTGATGCCTCTGCCAGGGTGTCTCAGGGAGCTCTGAAAGCCTGGGTGCCAGGGGAGGTGCCCCTGGGTTACTGGTGCGACTATTGGTGAGACTTGGGAGAAGCTGTTGGGGCTGCAGGAAGAGCTCAGAATAACCACGCGGGGGTGCCAGCCCTGCAGTTTCCAGCAATTTAAAAGCTTTCTTGGAGCCGCTCCAGGGATTACTCTGGGAGGAAGTCCAGGGAAGTAGAGAATATCCTGTGCTGCCCTGACTTTGAAGGATCCCTTCATGTCCTTGAATATGGACATTGTTTTCTGGCGTGTGGTAGCAGACTTCACTGCCTTGTGTTTTGCTGACTTATGTACCAGCATGAGAGGAGGGTTTGGACGATGCCTTCAGCCACCTCTCACCTTGCTAAGCCTGAGCTGTCACTCTCTTAAACCAGCTGCTGTCACTAAGCCTCTCCTACACCAACCTCTCTTCCATATTCACAGTCATAACCAAATGTGCTGTTGCCACAGGGATTGCCTTTGATAATTCCCCCTCGTCCTGTAGAAGCTGGTCAGTAAACAAAAGGGATGTCCCATTTTCACTGTCCCTTCCACCCACTGCTTCCACCTCCTGAGGAGCCCTTGAGATTGTAGGGGACAAATTCTGATGGGAGTTCTAGCGGGAGAAATGGGTGCCTGGGTGCGTTACCTCCATGGTGCAGAGCCTGGCATTGGATATACTCGCCCACCTGGAGCAGGTCATTTCTACCATGTATCTCCAGTCCATAATAAGTTTGGCCACGTGGATTTGGATATTTTTTCCCTTAGCTGTGTGTCCCTGGCATCCCCACACTTCACGTGCTTTTCTGCCTTACAGAGGTGGGAGCAGACATGTCACAGGCTCAGCTCTGATCCCTCGGAGAAAGCTGTGCTTCCTGCTCACGTGGATGGAGCACACCAGCCTCTAGGAATCACTAGGATGCTTAGATTTTTACAGGCTTAAAGTAGCAGGGAGCTGGTCGGGAAGGTATTTTAAAAACAAAACAAAAATCCAAACACCCCTACAATACTTCATGACAAAATGTTTTTGTTAGGGGTTTGGGTGGGTTGTTTTTTGTTGTTGACTTTGGGATTTTGTTTGGTGGTTGGTTGTTGGGTTTTTTAACTTTTTGTCAGTAGCAATTCCCTGTGATCTCTGTAACACGCTGTCTGCAACAGCACTGTTGAAACAGTGCAGGGAAAAAAAGCAAAGCATGACCAAAACTAACAGTTCTGAAACTCGCATTCCTGATGGGGGAGGTGGGCTGTAACCGGGACACTACCAGAGAGTTGTAAAGCAAAATACACACTGAAATTTCCTTTGAAATGGAAATTTGGAGCCTATGCCAGCTCTGCTGCTTGCTCTGGCTCTTGGTGTGAGCGTTACACAAGCCAGACCTTGGGAAGCCTGAGAGTCTCTTTCGGATGGTCAGTTTGTGTCATGGTGGAGCCATTTTCCACTGCCAAGGAGGGGACAGTTAACCTGCTGAAGTGATGGCAGGGGCACACGATGGTGTGCAGAGAAGTGGGGGGTGTGCAAGTCTGGGGGATTTCTGGGAGGACCAGAAAAAAAACCTAGCAGATTTTGGCTGGGAGCAGAAGAAGGGAGAGTTCTGATGCAGTTATAGAAACTCAACCCTGCATCTCTTCCATTTTTCTTAATCCTTCCAGCGGGCACAGCTTAAAAACTTTCAAGACTGGCAGCAGTGTTAAGAGGGAGAAAGGAGAGATTGCTGCAGAAGGGCAAGCCCTGGCATGACAATCCTCTCTAGCTGGCAAGCATTTGGCTGGTTGTTTTTCTTTCCTGTAGATTTGCTTTTCAGTCAATGCTTTTCTAGGAGAGCCTACAAGAGCCAGAAGTGATGGGATCTGCTGTGATCCTCATCTTCAGGATACAAATGTGTCTTGAGCAGGTGTGGTCTTTGCTGCCATCCCTGAGGGAGGAGGCTGGCATGTCCTCTGTCTGCTCTGCCCTCCCCTTTCTTCCTGGGGGCTGAGCAGAAGAGTTTTGCCCTGCACAGCTAGCCTTGAAACCTGGTGCATGACTCTGATGCTCACGTTTCACCCATGTAGGCTCTCAGGAGGAGGAAGCCATCTGGAAAAAAGGCACACAGTAAATTCAGATGAGCTGCAGGGCCAGGGGCTGGTCCCCATCTCCTCCTCAGCCTGGAAGAAACTCAGGCAAGGTCAAGGCTGAAGCACACTTGATTTCTACCCTGGGCTTTGAGAGTTTATTCACCACATTCCTGGAACAAGTGTAACATAAATTCAGCATCTTTCTGCAGACAACTTCCTCCACTCCTGGCTGCACGGGGACTCCACCTGGACCCAGTGCTCCATGGGATGCTGGCAGAGTCACAGTGAGCAGATTTACAGGTCCTCACCAGAGGGTTTCAGCCAGGCACACTTGTTTGGAGATTTTCCATCCAAGTGGTTCCAGCAGGAGTGGGTTTGTTCCCTGCTGCCTGCATCCTGCCTGCCCTTGTGTAGGACATAAAAGAGGGGAGGGTGTGGATGTGGAGCCAGGCTGGGCAAGTCTGCACGCTTGTTTCCCTCCATCCCAGC